CGCAAAGAAACGGCTGCTCAGATGACGGGGCCTTGCTTACCTTGGGCTTGACTGATTACTGTAGGTGATGAAGAGTGAGGAGTTGGAGACATTTGAGTCATGATGCGTTCCCCAGATACTTACGTTCCCCAGATACTCCATACCTGAAAATGGGGGTTTTCCAAAATTAGGGGTACCATTTTAGGGATCCCAAAAAGAAGGACAAAAAAGTTGCCCTAAATACAGGGACCCCAATATAGACCCCAATCTAGACCCCAATATACTATAATCCTTATTATACGGACACCCAAAAAAGTACACCTAATTTTGGGAAATCCTACACCCTATATATCCCCTATACAACCCTTATATAGCCCCTATATAGCCCCTATCTCCCCTTTATGACCTCTATAGCCCCTGTAAAGGACGACTCTTACCGCGCCCAGGCCCAGCGCTATCCTTCAAAGAGCAGGGCGAGTTGCTCTTCAGCTTGGTGAAGTGGGGGCGCCCAGATAATTGCTACTATATAGGGCATATATAGGGGATCTATAGGGGATATGCAGGGGATTTATAGGGGATATATCAGGGACATATAGTGGGGATATATTCGGATACTGGAAAAGAAAATGGAAACTACCATTTAGGGTTAAGCTTCAAGGTGGACCCCCCCTCCAACAAAAAGAGCCAGATGTCTGAGAACCTCCCAACAGAGGGTTTAGGTTTTAGAGCATTTCTTGCCACAATCCTTGTATGACCCCTTACAATGAGGTGCTATTGCACATTTGGCAAAGCCTATTTGTCCCAGTGCACTATCATATTCATGCTATACTCTAAACCCTAAACCCTGAACAAGCTAATGAAGCATTCCACAAACTTGAGCAACGGCCCATAGAGTGTGTTGCTTAAGCGTTAAAACATTGTTAACTCCCTCAACCCTAAACCCTAAAGCGCAGTTTCCATTTTTCCATTCTCCCATATAATCCCAATATAACCCTCATGTTACCCCAATGGGTACTTAAAATCCCAATATAACCCCCAATGGGTACCTAAAATCCCAATATAACCCTAAAGTTACCCCAATGGGTACCTAAACATGTTTTTCGAAGTGGCTCGGCCTTGAGTTCAGGCCTTCTGAATTCTACCCCTTCCACACCCATACAGGCGAGACATGGGGAGCCTGAACCCTAAACCCTTACATAGCGGATATATAAGGGATATATGGGGGATGCATAGGGGATATATAGGGGATACATCGGATATATATAGTGGATAGTTCTTGGTATTCCAGGTTCTGGTCGAAACCAGTGGCATTCCTTGAGGAGTGTGCGCATGTCGGAAAGGTTCAGCGCCTAATGTAAACACCCTCCTTTTAAGGGCCTAAATATTAGGATCCCTATTATAATCCCCATTACGGGGGAGGGGCTTATTCACCAGGAGTTTACATTAAGCCTGCGACAGAAATGGCCACAGCCTGCCCTTCACATCGGTCGTACTCCTGACTCCCAAAGCATGAGCTCCTCTGAAGAAACCACGGCAGCAAGAAAAAATCCTAAACCCTAAGTTGTAGTTTCCATTTTCTTCTCCAGTCTCCCAAGATATTCCCTCTGTATCCCCTATGTATCCCTTATACATCCCCTATACATCCCCTATACATCCCCTATATATCCCCTATATCCCCTATATATCCCGTACATGAGACAGGCAGGAGCCGAACTTCATCTGCGTACCCTACGGCGTCTTCGACTTCGTGCAGGGGGTCAGCGGCCTCTGACAGGGTTCGGGTTGGATTGGGTTTGGGGTTTAGGTTTGGGAGTACAAGGTTGTCCATCTTCCTGATGTTGAGTACTGAGATTTGGTAGTGTCCTTCAACCGGGGACCCCACCATAAACTCCACAATACTATATTCTTCTTTTAGGTATGGTACCCCTAATTAGGGGAAACACCCATCTAGATCAGCATTGCAATAAACTTCGGATTGGTTTGAGCTTGGGCTTAGTATCTGTCACAAACTGGCGAGGGTTTCTTGCGACTTACGTTGGCAGGGCATACTAAGGGACACATACACGGTTGATGCGCAGGTTTCCAGCAAGTAGTGCACGTAGCTTAGGTAGGGAAAGCTTAAGTTATCATCAAGTTATGACCAGGTAATAGCCTATTATAGCCCTTCACAAGTACTATTATAGGCAACACTGGCGTTTCACTATATGCCCTTCTTCCTAAATCCCTAAACCCTAAACTCGAAAAAACCCTAAACCTCGTAGCTTAAGTTTCAGAATGTAAAAACGGGAGCTGAAAAGGGTACTTTCCGCCAGATTTCTTACTTGGAGGCTCAGGGACTTGCTAGTTTGTGTGTATAAGGGTAATATTGGGTTTAGGGTTTAGGGTAATAAAGGGATAATGGAAAATAACACGGAAACTAACATAGTTTTTGAGGGTTTGGGGTTTCGGGGCTTATAAGCAGACTAAACCCAATGAGGGGACCTATAACCCTATTTGTAACCTACTTACTTCATCCCCCTTCCATCAGTTGTAGGACAGACGCTTGGATCATTGCCCAAATATTCTCCTGTGGTAGGGGATACAGTTCAGGCACTGAACTTGGTGTCAGATAGTCCTAAACTCTGAACCTAAACCTTAACCCCTAAACCCTAAACCCTGTGTTTCAGTACCCTTGATCTGGTTCATATCCGCTTAGGTAGGCTGAAATTCCCGGAAGCTTTGACACAAACTTGCCTAGCAAATGAAACATACAAGTCAGGCCCGCGCAAGTAAACTTGCTTCAGGGCTCGGAGGCAGTTTAGAAGGCTTGCTTTCTGTGGAGACAGGCTCCTCAGGGCTTCAATCAACCCTGTCTGCTCTACTCTTCTAGCCGTATGAGTCTTTCGAAACAACGAATGGATGGAAAACTGCAACCCACCAAGCATTGAATGCCGGCTAGCCTTTGTATTCAATTCTTTCCGTCCACATGTGCCGGCTTGGCACAGATTTTGGACTTCATTGCTGGTCTCTTCCCTTCTCAGTCGCGGCCTCACAGTTCGTGTTCTTGTGCTTGCCGTTTTCAGTGACGGGTGCATGTTTAGGGGGCAGGACCACTGAGTCTAATGCTGTCTGGAATTTACGGCAGACGGTAGCACAATCCCGTCAGTGCTACAGGGCTATAAGTTGGCTCAGTGGTCTTGTGCAGGACCGTAGCTGTGTACCAGCATTGGATCTTCAAGACCCCAAGGAGTAATCATTCTAAGCTAACCCCTAAACCCTATATAACCCCACTATAGTAGCTTCCATTTTATTTTCCATTATCCCAATAAACCCAAGAGTAGCTGGGCTCACGCCTACATTGTGAGGGACTTCTGCATGTACAGCAGCCTGCGGGTTAGAAAGTAAATCACTCTGCAGGGGCCTTACTACTGTGGATTAGGTTTCTTGTATTCTTCTACAAGGAGATCAGATATGAGGTTGGAAGGCCTGCAGGATCACTTGCTGTTTTAACATTACATATGCATAGATAAACGTACTTTTCTTGCAGAGGCTCCCAAATTGGCAGGTCGTGCATGTTCTTTTCTGTCAACGACAGCCTCGGACGTGGATCATGCAGCCAAAAGCTTCACGCAGAGCCCATAGGCGAAACCCTCCTTGCCATTTTTGCGCAGATAGCGCCACACAGCCATAGCGTCGGCTGGTGGAAGGGGTCCCGGGATGAGTCCTGGAAAGAATGTCTCCGAGGCCTGGATGCAGGAGCCAAAGCCCTCTTGCAAGGCTCACGCAGCCAGTGCGTAGCAATGACGGTCCGAAACGAGTCCTGGAAAGCATGTCTCAGAGGCCGTGTCGCTGCCAAGCAGGATTTCAACGGGTATCGTGTTCAGGAAAAGCACGGCAAGTGATGCGAGTAACTCGGCCAGACAGAGGGTCAGGGTCGTTTGCTGAACGTCGCGTCCGCAGGGCGGTTCACAGCTGATGGTGGGATGGGGCCCTCGCCACGGGCGAGGGTCCATGGCGAGGGCCCCATCCCGCCATCAGCCTTGAACCGCCCTACGGACGCGAGGCTCAGCAAGCGACCCTGACAATCTGTCTGGCCGAGTTACTGGCATCACTTGCCGTGCCTGTCTTGAACACCATCCCCGTTGAAATCCTGCTGCTGGAAGAGGAAGATGTATTGGGAAGTCGAGTGCCATCTATGGTGAGGTTTCAGTCCCTGTCAGCTTACAGTGTCCGTTTTGTTCAGAAGAGACGTCATCATTGCATGCTACATGCATGCATTGTTACCCATCTTTCCACAGCCTCTTCGAATGCTCCGGAACCAGGGCGTGAGCTTGCCTAGTTTGCCATACCTTGCCGTGATGTCATGGTTCGGTACTACACATGAAGGCCAGAGATCGGCTAAGCTGGCAAGGGTGGATCAAAAAGGGTGGACGCACATTTCTCTCTGAACTCCTGTGCTGGCAAGTGAAGTGAAGTGAAGACAAACGTACACTTAAGCGGACCAAGAGGTCCAATGGGTGACGACTGCAATTCATTTCTTTCTCTGCTCTGAAACACACAATTTGTAGGGTGCAAGGTCCAAGCTGCCAGTCACAGGCCCATGGCACCTTGCTGATCCCCCCTAGCTGCCCTCGCAGGGCCCAAGAGGTTTGCATCTCAAATCAAATCATCATGATAGGTAGAACATGCATGGGTTACAAACTCTTTGGTACAGAGCGTGACACACACACACATTAATATGTTTATATTTATATACACACACACACACGCACATACACGTCAGCAAGCAACGCAGGTGTCTTCATTCATAACATGCTGCAGAAGACATTCCAGTCATCCCGAAAACCCACAGCGGAGACCGCCGACTTGTGCTTGCAAGTTTGAAGAGCCGTCATGCTGACACCAAGAAGCATTTCAGCGTCAGCAAAGGGCAAACGTGGTATCACCGAGAATCAGAAGCTGGGGCTTAGGAAATGATGGGAAATGAGTAGTTGCCGGCGCAGCGTGCGCCCGAAGGGTCACTCGTCAGCCTTCTGGAGCCGATGAGGTCAGACCTTGCGGAATACGGCCGCATCGGCCGCTACTACGCTGAGCAGAGCATGCTCGTGACCTACTCGCAACAAGATTTTGGGACGCCACATATCTACATACATATATGGAACCTGCAATCATTGCAGTAGCAATCGCCCTCGTCGTAATAGTAAACGTCGAAGCTGTAGCCGTAGCAGTAGCAGTAGCAGCAGCGGACGTAAAGAAAAAACATATTTTGTTGCGCTGAGTGGCTTTGTTTGGGGTTGCAAAAGCAACCCACACTCAACTGTCAGATTCAGGGACATTGTTGAGGCATGTTCCGGCATGTTTGCATCGTCAGCGTATTGCAGCCCAAACTTCACGTGTTCCAGGTCCGCATCTCATGTGGATGAGAAAGCCATAGCCGTAGCCATAGTCTATAGTGTTCCTGGGCATAGATTTTTGGATTTGGATTCGGCTGCTTTGGTGTAGGTTAACCCTAAACCCTAAACCCTTAAACCCTAAACCCCTAAACCCTAAACCCTTAAACCCTGAAGCCCTAAACCCTAAACCCGTTTGCAGACCATGGTGGCAGTTCTGGAAAAATGGATGTTTGCCTGGCCAGAGGACAACTTGAAGCCAACGGCCCAATTATGAACATTCTTTCAGTTGGCTCTCGTGTGGGTCATGGCTAGAATTACAATGGATTAGGGTTTGGGGTTTAGGGTGGTTTGTAATTGCCCTGCCACAGGAACCACCAAAACTTATAGTAGTGCGAATTAGAGCCTGATGAGGTCCTGGACCCTGCGACAGGCAAGTACAGCGAGGAGCTTCGTAGGAGATTTCCCGAGATTGCTTTTGTAGGGGTCCCTTGTCTTGTTTGCATTCCTATCGCAACACGGGTCTCTAAATCTTAGGGCAAGCTATAGTTTAAACTGCCAGTATCCCTGTTAACGACCCCTGATTGTAGTCTCCTATATAATCCCCCTATATAACCCCCTTTAAGGAATTTAGATTATAGCACGCGTGGGATGTTTTGTGGTTTCGCTCCTCATCGAGCTGCGATGTTGGCATTCGAGCTTCCTCAAAGGGCGCTGCATTCGTCCCGGTCCACTTTTACGTGGGGGTTTCCTAAAATCAGGGGCAGCATGTTGGGTGTCCCTTTTAATAAGGACAATCGTATTTTGGGGGTCCCCATACTTTGAGGAACTACCACTTCTTTTCGCCTAGGGTTCGAAAGCAAGCTTTGTCTCAGGCAGGCCTAGGTGCTCGGATTGCAGGACTCCTTACTGAAGTTTAGGGGAAGGCAGAACTGAGGCACCTCTCTTTGAATTACATGATGATGAATATCCTCTACGCCATGCACCCCCACCAAACCTGGGTGGAGCGGGACCTCTTCCTATTTGTAGCTACCTGAAAGGCTGAGGGATGTTGGAAGGCGGTTTAGGGTAGAGGGCGGAGGGTAAAAGGAATCCTGTGAGCTAAGTACAGACTCAAGTCTGCCAATTGCCAGCTCCCTGTGGGCAACAGGGCCCTGGAAGTAATGTGGACCGGCGTCATCTTGGACATGTTGCCTCTTTTTTTCTTTCATTTTTCAAGGTGGTCGAGGTGATTATCGTCCTGATTCAGAGTCCTCCCAGCAGCTCGGTACCAAGCACATCCACAGATAGAAAGAAATTGGTTGGGAGGCTCAGCGAAAACAGGAATCTTATACAAGGATCCCCGCCAAAAATGCTTTTCGGGCGGACAATGCGCTCTAAACCCTAAACCCTATTGCTTTGGCATTCCTTTTTGAACACGCTCAAATCAAATTTGTGGGCCAGGAGCTGACGCCGTCCTACGGAAGGACTTACTTTGACTTACTGATGCCAAAGGGCGAATAGGGGGGAGAATATCGGTTTAAGTGTTTAGGGTTGAGGGTTTAGGGTTTAGGGTTCACCTCGGCTCCTGCTGAAATCGCCAGTTGGTAGAACAGGGAGCTGCGAACTAGCAGGGAGTATCTCTCCAGTCCTCTGATGTTTAAGGTTCCCCCAAAATAATTGGTCTGAATATCCGGGGACGCCCACAGGTATGACTTATCTTCGAATGTATTCAAATGCACTTATACAAGTTGAAGGCTGTAACCGGACGCTGTTCATATCCGTTTGACATGTACGTTTCTACAGCACACCACAAATGCGTGAGTTGCATTATCCCTTCTTAGCAGGACTGACTTGCGGGCGTTCTTGACCGAGGCTTTAGAGGAGCACCGTGCTGACGATCATCGGATGGTAGTTTTGGGTTGGATATTGGGGGTTTCCCAAAATTGGGGTGTTTTTTTGGGAGTCACCATAATAAGGCTTATAATAGTGTCGGGTTTATGTTGGGGCCCCCTTTTTTGGGAAGCTACCATGTTGCTCTTTTCACAACAGCGTCTTATGTGGGATCAGTTCATGAAGAGTGTTGTGACATGATACGGGATATAGGGTTCAGGATTCAGGGTATTAGAGGTTGCATGGCTCGACAGTGTCCAAGCTTCAGGATTCAGAGTTGTAGCAGTTGCAAGGATTCCTGACAAGGAAGTGGGGCAGGATGCACTGTAGCTTGCGAGAGCATGCAGAAATGGTAGTTTCCCAAAATACTGGGACCCTAATATAGACCCCAAAGTACTATCATCCTTATTATGGGAACCCCCAATAAGATCCCCCTAATTTTTGGAAGCCACCCAAAATGGGGGTCATCAATTCAAAGTAGCATCCCTCAGAACCAATACCCTCACCTTCAAAATATTTGGGGGCTATATAGGGAATAATGGAAAAGAAAATGGAAACTACCATAATTGGCTATAAAGGGATTATATATCTTGTGAGTTCGGACCCCAGAGGTGTTGTTGCTGTACTTCCTTGGAGGGTTGTGGGGACTTAGTAGATAGGTTAAAAACCCCCACAAGCCACATAATAACCTCAGTAATCTTTATTCTTAACCTACTTACTAAGTCCCAATGACCTTCCAACCCTAACCCTAAACACTATAGTAGTTTCCATTTTCTTTTGCATGATTACTGTGGGTTGCAGACCAAGTTCCTAGCCTCGCAGCCTAAACCCTAAACCCTGGCTTGAAAGCTCTGATCCGCAGCTTCTTCTTCTCAGCTCGGGGTGCCGGGGCCTGCAAAAGCTGGGCCTCTCTCCGACACGGGTGGTGGCCCAAGAGTGAAGGCTTTACGGGTCATGATTCAGGGTTTAAGATAAAGGGGTTGAGGTTTTCTGTTTTTGGAAAACTTGGTCGGTGACTTCTGTACAGAACCCTGGCTTTTTTGACAGTTATCACAGGGGCATTAGTGAACTGGTATGAAAATCAATATATCTCATGAGGGCCCCGCACCAGATGCGAATCTCGAAGCCTCAACCTCTGCGTAAAAAAACATCTCTCCAGATATGGATATGGCCGAGGGAGACCAATCTGCGCAAAGTCTCATGGATGTGAAGACACCTGAAAACAGTGTATCCCTATATAACCCCAATATACTATGGTAGTTTCCATTTTCTTTTCCATTATCCCTATGTAACCCCTACATATTGTAGTAGTTTTCATTTTCTTTTCCATTATCCCTATGTAACCCCTATATATTGTAGTAGTTTCCATTTTCTTTTCCATTATCCCTATGTAACCCTTACTGTTTGTACAACGGCCTCCGACCTCCCTTGTACCTATGCATTAGGGTTTAGGGTTTACACCCTCCAACCCCCCACCCTACCCTATCCAAATCTTGCAGAACGAGCGCCTGCTCCAGTTCAAGTTCAAGCGCCAGTAAACGTTGATATTAGTATTATAGCTATCATAATTGATACCTCTACTATCATTCTTTTTCGCAATTATTATTAGTTTTACTTTTGTTTCGCCACACCTCCCTCTGCCTTGCACAGTGCTACATTGCCCTCCTACATTGCCCCGCGCGACGGTATCTCGAAGCCCTCCCAAAAAGGGACCCGCGGCTCTGAACCCTGGAAGCACCGCCAAACGAGCAGTGTTTAGAATTGGGATGCGATGGCCCTGAGCATAAAGTAAGATTTTTCTCGTCCTGGCAATAGTTATCAACAGTTTATGGATGGAGAATCTAGTTCTACTTGGTGCAGCCACCAAAACAAGCACTACTGAAATGAGGAAGCGGCATGGGTTCTGGAGCTTCTATCTCTGAGCAGCTCCAAAACGCCTCCCAGGAAAGTCAGGGTGACCAGGGCACACAGGTTTGGCTTCCAAGTTCCTGTGGGTTACTGGGTTGCTGTTCAGGA